TTCAGTGGGGCTTTGGATCTCACTGAGTCTGCCCCTTGAGCTTGTCACTTGTTGATGTGTAAAGTTGTAATCTGGTATGGTCTAAAACTGTCCACCAGGCCTACCTGGAGGGGCAAAGTCAGTCACTGCCTGGGTTCACTCTACAGGAGCCACAGAGTGATTGTATATGACTGCTACTTATATAGTGCTCAGAGAAGGCCAAGTTGTCCTGGGCCTGTTATTGATAAGTATGAGGCATACTGATGCCAGATGCTGCTTGTTTGAGAGATTTTAGGAAAGTCTGAAGCTTGAGCCAGGATAGGCTATTCATATAGAAAGGCTGCTGCAAACAGCTTAGGCAGGTTGGCAAATTGGATGGAGCGGGGTCTCAGGGAATCACCAGGGTGGAGTAAACAGTGTGAACCAGGCTGATGGAAACTTAGATATGGCTGCCAGTCAGCTCTGCAACAGAGGAGGTCTTAGCATAGGAACAATGATCCCTGCAAGCATCCCTGTCTGGGAGAAAGCCACCCCAGAGTTCTTGCTCTGATGCCAGACAGTCCAGTCCCTCATCATATGTCCTTGGATCCCCTCAATGTGTTCTCCAAGCACTGGAGCTCAGAGGGAGTGAGTCCAAGTAAATTCATACACTGGCCCTTTAAGAGGAACTGCCTGGATCTCCAGCAGTCTGTCACTCAGCCACAATCCCCACTGTTTTTTATAGCCTGAAGTTATGTGGACTTCTCTTCCCAGCTCTAGAACCCTGGGCTGGGGGTCTGATGTGGGACTGGGACCCCTTGTCCCTCATAGGAAGCCTCCAGTGGGACTGGGACCCTTTGTCCCTCATAGGAAGCCTCCAGAGCCAAGGTATCTCTCCTTATTTAAAAAAAAATGCCACATGTGGGTGTCAAACCGCCCCGTTCCATCCCTCCACCCTTCCTACTAGTCTCAGTGTGCTTTCTTCTTTACTTTTCTATTATAGTTGCAGGACTTCCATTCAGCCAGATTTCAGGTGGTTCTAAATGATGGTTGTTCTGAATGATGACTGTTCTGTATTTTAGTTGTAAGTTTAATGTTATTGTGGGAGGCAGTGAGTATCACCATCTTGGTTTCCAGGGTCTATACTTTTTAAAAAAATATTTTTTTAAATTGAATTTTACAGAGAGAGGAAAGGAGAAGGAGAGAGAGATAGTAACACTGATGAAAGGGAAACATTGATTGGTTGCCTCTGGCATGCCCCCCGCCTGAGTGCAGGTCCACAACTGGGCATATGCCCTAACTGGGAATCAAACTGGAGAACTCTTAGTGCATGGGTTAATGCTCAACCACTGAGCAGCATGGCCTGGCTCCCTACTTACTCTTTTTAAAAAATATACATTTTTTAAAAATTGCTTTCAGAGAGGAAGGGAGAGGGAGAGAGAGATAGAAACATCAATGATGAGAGAGAATCATTGGCTGCCTCCTGCATGTCCCCTACGGGGGGGTCGAGCTTGCAACCCGGGCATGACCCCTTGACCAAAATCAAATCTGGGACCTTTCAGTCCACAGGCCCATGCTCTATCCTCTGAGCCAAAAGGGCTAGGACCCTACTTACTCTTTATGTCTAATCACTGCATCTATGTTCTACTTTCATTAATTCATGTGCTCAAAATTTATTTACTGAGCACCTGCTTGGTATATTAGGCACTAGGAATAGAGCAATGAAGAAAACACACATAATTCCCACGGTCTTGTAACTTAACTTTAGTGGGAGGGCCACCCATTAGGAAGTCATACCATACTCACATTAAGCTGCATGAATTTAAGCAATTATGTAATTACTAGAGGCCCCACATGCAAAATCACATGAGACCCAGACTCCGCCACTCTGCTGTGGGCAGGGCCCATCAATGCACCTCCTGGTGACCCGTCTTTTGGTCATTCCTGCATTCCGGCATTCTGGCCACTGGGGGTATATATATATATATATATATATATATATATATATATATATATATACATACACACTCATATACTTGGGAGGTAGAGTAGAAAGAACCATTAAAATACTATAACTAAGCAAGAATTTAGATAACTACAATTATGACATACCTGACACTCAGGAAGAACTTATCAAATTATATAATGTAATAAGGAAATGTATGGAGTGTCATGAGAGTGTACAGTACGGAGAACTAAACTAGTGAAGGGTAACAGGAACACCCCCCCCCCCCCAGAAAATAACTCTAAGCCCAGTGGAGAAGGAGGGTAGGAATTATCCAGGTGTCTGTGTTGCTGGAGTTGGGGTGAGGAGGAGGAAGAGCTTTCCTGGCAGAGGGAATGACAGGTGTGAAGACCCTAAAATAGGGAAGAAAAGGTGTTCAAGGGACTAAAAATAGTGTCACTGAAGCACAGTGAAACCTCTGGAAGTTTGATTCCATAAAGGTGAAAGGAGAGGCAGGCAAAATCACAGCAGACTAGGGGTTGCAAACACAAGTGGCTAAAGAATTCAGGCAGGGAGACCCCATAAAGATAAGAGTGGTAGAAACAAGACTGGCATACACATGCCATCTAAAGAGGAGAGTAAGCACTCAAATCCAGCTGATTATTGCCCTAAAGGAGAGTGGGTTCAATGTGGCCAGATCTTCTGGCTTTTTTTTTTTTTTTTAATGGAAATCTGGACTTCAATATGTAATTTTCCACATTTTTAATATTAGCATCCAATTTTTAAAAATTGTCATGGAAAACAAAGCATACAGCAGAAGTTTAGTTGGGACCTGAGGGACCACCAAGTTTCCAATGATGATATTTTAATATAGCATGGAGTCTGGTATATCATGAGTTCATAGTGATACACTAAAAAGTGAAGATGTCAATAGGCCATATTCCACATACATGGTTCCTGAGTTCAGAAGAGAGATTCATGCTGATGATCTATATTTGGTCTCATTCTTACAATGTTGTTCACTAAAGCCATGAGTGTGAATGAAGTTGAGAAGGAAAAGGGTTTGGAAGTTTGAAAAAGTATGGCACATGGAAGTTTCTGGCTGGAAAATGGGAAGATGGGAATTTTAAGGGATGAGTCAAGGTTAGTGATCTTTAAAGAGCTTTAAAGTTATGCTAAAAAATTTAGAATTTATCCAAAGAAGAACAGGGAATCATGAAAAAGTTTCAGGAAATAGTAATATGAGATATGAATTTTAAGAAATAACTCTGACTTTAGTGTGGAAGAAGTATGACTAAAAGCAAGGAACCCAAGGCAAAAAGTCCATTTAGGAATCTACTGTGGTATTCCAGGAGAGGTGTTGATGGCCTTAACCAGGGAAAGTGGATGGAGCTGGGAACTATTTTGGTTGTGTTTAGGGTTCAAAGATGGGATCTGTTCATTCTTATATTTGCTAGCCTTCCCTCCCCTCCTTCCCCCAGCATAGAGTCCATGTTTTTTTTTTCTTTATATTTTATAATCTTCACCAGACGACATGTTTTTCTTGAATTTTAGATAGAGATGGAGGGGGTGGGCAGAGGAGGGAGGGAGAGATAGAAGGAGGAACATCGATATAAGAGAGACACAGCAGTTGGTTGCCTCCTTTATGCACCCCACCTGACCTGTGATGAGACTAGAAACCTGGGTATGTGTCCTGACCCAGAATCAAACCCTAGACCTTTTGGTGTACCAGAAGGTCCAACCAACTGAGCAACATTGGCCAGGGCTCATGTTTTATTCTTTATATTGTTCTCCAGCTTCACCGCCTTTGCCTGTTGACCTTTCTATCACATCTGCCTGGACAAACTCTAGCCCTAAATGAATCCAATTGTCATTCTGACACTCTCAGAACCGAGGCAACTGAGCACTAACGGAGAAAACCACAAAGAAGCAGAAACTAGTATCTCTATTCATGCTCATCAATCCCCAAAGTGGTGCATTTTACTGCTTCTCCTCAAGAACAGTTTTATACTCTCTCCACCTTTCTCTACTATGACTCATGTGCCCACTCCCAAGCCCCTCAGGTAGTTCTCTGGGGGGAAATGATCTGGTCTCATGTTTCACATTGAAGAAACTCCTTCAGAACCCCACCACTAAGCCTACAACTCCGTCTACTTTTGCACCCGCCTTCCCTGCCAGGCACAGTGGTTGCGTGTGTGAGGTAGAGAAGTATCTTGAGCTCATAGGTGTACTGCTCTCAGGAGTAGGGGATAAGCTGAACAGGAATGGAACGATGGACGAGGACTCAGATTCCCTCCCTCCGCCACCACACTGGCAAAGTTAAAGGTGAGTTAGAATAAAGTAGTCTGGGGAACTCTGTCAGAGATAGACGAATGAAGAACCTCAGAGATCTCTACATTGCTGAAACCTAAAGACCAATTTCTTTTCACTCATATTCTATCCCTTTAGCACAGGATCCCCTCCCTCCCCCCCTCTCCGCCCCCATTTTGTACTTTCTCCCTCAATATTTCTTCATAAAAAAAAGGGTGAGATATTTGATTTTTTTTTTGTGGCTTCTTCTTGCTTCCCTTGGTATCAGTCCAAACTACTTTCTGCGCACCCAGACGCTAACTTCCGCGCGCGCGCGCGCGCGCGCGTGTGTGTGTGTGTGTGTGTGTGTGTGTGTGTGTGTGTGTGTGTGTGTGACGGCCTCCACGTGTCTGTGCGGTGGTGCCCGCGGGTCCCAGCGGCGGGGTGCGGGGTGCGGGGTTGCGGTACACTCCGGGCGGGGGCTGTGGGACACACAGAGGGTCACGTTTGGTGCCAGGAGGCCGGGGACGCGGTAGAGCTGGGCTCTGCACGTCACCCCACCACCCCACCCTTCCCCACAACGCGGGGCGACCCCCCGCCTCCAGGCCCGGGTCCCGCAGGGGCGGGCTGGGCGGGCGGGGCGGGGCTCCGGGGGGCCGCCCGCCAATCGGGGGCCCGGGCGCGGGGGCGTCGTCCGCGGGCGGGGCTCCGGCTGCCCGCCCCCCGCGAGCGCTCCGGCCCGGGCGCCGCGGGCCGCACTCTCCGCTCGCGGCGGCTGCAGCCTGGTCCTCGCGCGCGCTCGGCGGAGATGGCCTCGGTCGCCGCGGCGGCGGCCAGACGGAGCCTCGGGCGGGCGCCCCCGCTGCTCCTCCGGCGCGGCTACCAGACGGAGAGGGGCGTCTACGGCTACCGGCCGCGGAGGACCGAGCGCCGGGAACCCCTGGGTGCCCGCGCGCACCCGCCAGGTCCGGTGGGGCGGCCGCGGCCTGGGGGCTGGGAGGCGGGTCCCTCCGGCCGGGCCTGCCGCGGGGTGCTGTGGTGGGGGGCGGGGGCTGCAGGGGGGCTGCAGTCTGTGCGCGGGCCGGGGAGGGGGAGCGAGGAAAAGAGGGGGCAGAGAGGGGAGGCGTGGGTGCTGTCAGTGTGGGGGTCAGCCCTGTGCAGCCTCTGGAGTTGGGGGACTTTGAGGTCAGAGTCGCCACGTCGGTTCCACCTTCCGAGTTCCTCGGGTCTTGGGCGCTCTTGCCTTCTGTTCCTGTGCAAACTTGTGGGAACCGAGCGCTTTGCGGAGGCGGAGCCGCGGGAAAAGTTCTAAGATCTCCCAGCTCCTGGAGTTTACACAAGGATACATTTCAGGGCCACGACCACAGCAAGGTATTTGTTGCCTGTTTATGTCCTCCAGCTAGACTAGAACTTTTTGATTTCAGCGTTTAACACTCTTTGCTGAATTTAGAACCATGTTACTGGAGTTTTAATGGACTAGAGGACAGACCTCTCTCTTCTGTTGCATGCTCGTGTGCAAGAGATTAATTTTGATTATTTGATTTATGCTCCAAAGTTATAGTATGTTCATTCATTCTGAGAGTAGAAGACGAATATAGATCAATTTTCAGAATAAAGTTATTTGGTATCGTTGATCCAGTCATTAGATTAACAATGAAGATCACATGTATCATCTGAGCACCTGACCTTTGAATCTTACATCACACACTGGTATCTCACTATTTTGCTTTTGACCTCAGGGGACATTTGGAATAAACCTGATTTCTCTCTCTTGAATGCAATGGGGTTTCTTCTAGGGAAGGCATTTGGAAACTACATTGTTAATCCATTGAGGGTAAAACTATAGGTATCTTATTTCACTTTGCAAAATGAGTGTCAAACATTTAGGTGTCATTTCTCAAACCTAAGAGTGTGTTCAAATTACTTTGATGTTTGAAGTGCCAGTTTCCAGGCCTCCTTTCCTCCCTCTACCCCTGGGTTCCAATTCAGTGGTCTGAGATGAGATTCAGGAATATGTATTTTTATCAGGCACCCCAGGTAATTCTCTTACAGGAAATCCATGGCCATCTGTGGCCAAATATTGTTATAGTCAGAAAGAGACTTATGTGTGAAATCTGTTTGACAGTCTCTACTTCAATTAAGATCATATTAGTATGTCCTCATTGCACAGTTACTATGATCGTATTTGAGGTGTTTCCTCAAAATTGGTCTCTATTTGATGCCTCAAATTATCTTATAATAACTCTTTTTGTAGATCATTATCTCCTACCAGGCTGTGTGGGAGAAGGGGAAGGAGAGTTGTGTATATTACGTCCAATAATATCTCATTGGCCAGAACTTGGTCACTTGTCTATATACATGCAAGGGAGACTGGAAAACACGGTCTTTATTCAGGGTGGCCATGTGCCAGCTAAAAATTATCTTGAGGAAGAAGAGGAAAATTGAAATCAAAAAATAACTAGTAATCACCATACTTGATCCCTTTGGCCACTCACGTAACCTAAACTTTTCTTTAAAAAAATTTTTTTTTAAATAAACCTTTATTTTTCATATTATTACAAAAGTTCCGCATTTCCCCCACCCCCCCTCTACCAGGTTCCTACCCCTCCCTCTGTGCTCTTTCCCCAGCCCCCATTGTCCTCATCCATAGATGCACAGTTTATATTGTCTCTTCCTGCACCCCCACTTCTCTTTTCCCTGAGAATCATCAGTCCACTCCCCTCCATACCTCTGATTCTATTATATTCAACAGTTAATATTGTTCATCAGGTTTTTTAATTCCCTAGGTTTTTTGATTCACTTGTTGATAGTTACGTATTTGTTGTTCATAATTTTTATCTTTATCTTCTTCCTCTTCTGAAAGAACCCCCTTCAGCAATTCATATAATTCTGGTTTGGCAGTGATGAACTCCTTTAGCTTTTTATTTTATTTTATTAGTGAAGCTCTTTATTTGCCTTCGATTCTGAGTGATAGCTTTGCTGGGTAGATTATTTTTGGCTATAGGTTCTTGCTATTCATCACCTTGAATATTTCTTGCCATTCCTGTCTGGCCTGCATGGTTTCTGTTGAGAAATCAGCTGACAATCATATGGGTGCTCTTTTATAGGTAACTACCTGCTTTGCTCTTGCTGCTTTTAATATTCTCTTTGTCTTTTGCTCTTGGAATTTTAATTATGATGTGTCTTGGTCTTCTTTGGATTCCTTTTGTTTGGGGTTCTGTGTGCTTCCTGGACTTGTAAGTCTAGTTCTTTCATCAGGTGGGGGAAGTTTTCTGTCACTATTTCTTCCAGTATGTTTTCGGTATCTTGCTTTCTCTCTTCTTCTGGTACCCCCATAATTCTGATGTTGGTTTGCTTGAAGTTGTCCCAGAGGTTTCTTACATTATCTTCAACTTTCTGGATTCTCTTATCTTCTTGCTTCTGTGGAGGAGTATCTTCTGGCTCTTTATGTTCCAAATCTTTGACTTGATTCTTGCGATCTTCCATTTTGTTTTTAGGACTCTGTATAATATTTTTTATTTCAGACAATGTATTCTTTATTTCTTGTTGACCCCTTATTACTTCTTGTTGATCCCTTATTATTTCTTGTTGATCCCTTATTATTTCTAGTTGATCCCTTTTCATATCCTCATAGGTCTTATCGACCTTTTCTAGGAAATTCTTGAAAAACCTTATAAGCGTGGTTTTGAACTCTATATCCAGTCGTTTTTTGTCTTCCATTTCTTTCGTTTGTGATCTGTTTCCTTGTCTCAGCATTTTCGCAGCTTCCCTGAGTTGGTAGCCTTAAAAGTCTCTGTGTTCAGCTTGGGTGGGGTGGAGTTTCAGGGTGGAGCCTACAACCTTGGCTTCCGTCAGGCACACCCTATGAGGCCCCTGAGTCTCAATATTCCTCAGGGTCCTTCAGTACTCGTTGCAAGCACCTCTGAGAGAAAGGTGCCCTCGAGTTTCACCTGCTACCAAACAGTCTAGGCTCTCCCCCAATGATCCCGGAACTGGGGTTCAGTTCAGTTGGAAGTGGGGTTTAGAGCAATCTGGGGCTTTTGTCTCCTTCCTGCTAGGGCAATCCAGCAGCACAGTCTACCACCCGTTCTCTGAGCGCAATGTGCGCGCCCCTGGGACTTCCTTTTGCCACTCCCTGAGTTTCCGCCTTACAGCCCAGGCTCCCTCTGTATGAGCTTGGGTCCCCAGGGTCTGGCCTAGAACTGGGTTTCAGTGCAGTCGGAACTGGGGCTCAGCACAGTCCAGAGCTTTTGTCTCCTCACTAGGGCAATCTAGCAGCAGAGTCAACAGTCAGTCCTCTGCGCGTAATGTGCGCGCCTCCAGGGGCTCTGCCTTTCGCCGCTCCGCCAAGATTTCGCCTCATAGCCCAGATTCCCTCTGTATGAGCCTGGGTCCCCAGGGTCTGGCCTAGATCTGGGGTTCAGTGCTGTCGGATCTGGGGTTCAGCACCGTCTGGAGCTTTTATCTCCTTCCCATTAGGGAATGCCAGCCAGGCACTAAGCCTCCCCCTCCTCTCTGGCTCCGTCCTCTCCGCGCGCAACGTGTCTCCGTACCTTAGGCTTTTACAGCTCCTCTGCTTTTCCTTATGGTTATCTCTTTCCTTCTCATTGTAGAATTTCCAGTCAGTCAACTTTCCTGTAGTTCTGGGTAATGTCCATTTTGTATTTCAGTTGTATTTTATTGAAATTGTTGTGTGAGGCTTCAGTTAGGTGTTACCTATGCCGCCACATTGGATTCTCTGTAACCTAAACTTTTCTTTCCAGATGTATAACATGTTCATCTCTTTCCTTCGACTCCTGGATCCAGCTCAAAGTCCATTATCTCTGGAGAATATGTGATCCTCTTCATCTGGTCTGGCTGTGACTCCTCATGTGAACTGCCACCCACCCCTTATATACACCTATGATACATAAAGACAATTTCCATCTGTAGCAGGAAAGAGTGAGGGATCTATAGCAGCCACTGGTTCAAATCAATTACCAATCCTATTGGGGAGGAATGACAAAAGCTCCTTGTTGTGGCCATGTAGTAAGTTCACAAGTTTATTTGGCCCTTCAACAAGGCCCTCTGCCCATTCCCCTGGATTTGCCTTATGGATTCTTCTCTATCCAGTATCTTCTGTGGCCATCTTTGACATGGGCATGCCCTTTTTGGGGGCTGCACCCCTTTCACAGTCCACTTTGATAAGGTTAGGAGCTTGAGGGTTACTTTAGGGGGTCATCAGTTACAGGTTTTATTTTTTTTCTGGGCAGAGTTGGGATTTCTTAGGCAGTATAGTTTTCTTATAAAATTCATAACTCTCTTTACTTCTGGTCATTCTATGAGCAAATTGCTTAAATATCTCTTCCAGCCCTGGCTGGGTGGCTCAGTTGGTTGGAGTACCACTTCCTCCATGATATCTTTCCAGACAACACCAGGCCATCCTGATCTGAACTCTCTCAATTCTCAGTATGGAGCCCTTTGGACTCTATTGAACGTTTTTTGATTGTGTATAAGGTTCTGTCTAGTAAAGACCTAGTCTTATATTTTTCTCAACTCTACACTTAACTGAATACTTACTAAATTATTCACTCTTATTAATACATGGAAATAGGGTTCTGTATTTGTAATTTATTTGTGACATTTAGCACATTTGAATTTCGCATGTACAACCATAACCTCAAGTGTCAAGAAAGGAAGCACTTTCTATATTGGGTAATCAACTATATTACTATTACTATGTTAGTAATAGTGTGTTCTATTAATAAATTATTTAAAGAGTAACTTCTTTTTTGCTGATGAAGTCAATTAAGACTTGTTGGTTTTTTCTTTAAATCCTGGGTAAGTGTGTGCTTATAGTCAGCTCCATTAATTAGAACAGGAGGCTTATGAGGCCAAGGACATGGTTTGTTGGGCTCTATCTCGTCTTTTTCATGCCACCTGCCATTTGTCCCAACAGTTGGCATGTTGGTTGAGAGGAATGACC